TTATCTTAAAGAGACTTTAATTTCTATAAGCAATTCCATCCACAACCTAATACTTATTAATCTGACAAATAACTCCAATATTTCTATTTTCCTTTCTCCATTTCAATTAATACCTTTGTCTAAGTTTATAATGTTAACTATCTTATAACCTTGCTTTTTTTTTTTTTTTTTCACAGAGCATCTTAAGTATTCAGGCACTTTAAAAGAATCCTACTGTATTCTACATAGCCTATTCCATCTGTTGCCATATCTTGGTACATAGTATGCTTTAGAAAGCACAGCTTTAGTGAATTTTTTAAAAATCAGCAAATTTACAATATTTTATTGTCTACTATATATGCTTAAGAAAGGCTATTTTAGATAACTGGTCATTTAAGACTGTGTTTAGCAGTAAATAGATATTTTACCAAACTTTGTTACTAATGAGTTAAATCAAGTACTTACAAAGAATCTAGAGGTGTATTATAATTCAGAGTTTTAAATTTACATATCACATACAATTCAGTTAAAAATGGTCAAATAACATAACCTATATGTATGGTAAACATTTTGATAAAATGTTCATAAGAGAGATGTGTCCTATTTTAAGAGAGAAGCCACTACATCCAATGAAAAGTAAATGTAAAAGAGAAATTTCTAACATGAGGAATGCAGAGATCTATGACCTACACAAATCGACAGCTAAATTTTAGTGAGCAATTTAAAATTTATGTGGTCCAAGGTAATACTAACTTGGATTACAGAATTAAAGGAAGGACTCAAGGATATAACAATTTAGAAGAAAATAGAGAATACAGTTCATATACATCAAGAAAGAGGCCCTGAAAATCTATCCTTGACAAAGATCATTCTATCCCCAGGTGTCCTCAAAAAAGGTAGTACTTTCATTTTCTTAGGCTGCAACACCAAAGCCTGGTGTTTCAAATTCTTTCAATAAAGCATGAAAGCCAGTTATGCAGAGCAGTGCTTTTGAACCCTTTTCTCCTCAAGTACATATAAAAAAATAACATTTATAAAGTAGCCAGTCTGGAGGCTCCAGTCACTTTAATCCATTCATGGCACAGGAGTTGGGAAGATCTAATTTACAGTATCAAAAGGATAACCCAGGAAATAAACTCAAGGTTTGTAGGTACCATGAAGGAGAACAAGTTTTAAGGAAGCATCACAAGAATAATTACTTCTGATCACTCTGAAGGAGTGAATGAATGAATGAAAGAGTACTGACCCAATTACGCAAAATGAAAACATCTTGAGCAGCCTGATTTTTATTTTGTGCCCTCTTTCTTGGAAAAAAAGAAAGCGTGAGATATAACATTTTGGGAAGTATAACAAGACTTAGTACAGACTAATTGTATAGTAATTGCAAATCAAAGGCTGAAAAAGTCTGCCAAAGGGGTTCACTCATCATTGAGAAAAGCTATCTTTTTTCTTCACTATTGTTACCAGTATTCTGGCCTATAAACGTCCTTTAACATATTATCTAGTATTTTTTTATTAGCCACACAAGTGGCCATATGCTCCTCTCCTTACTATTTATTCTTTCTTAAAGGGCACATGTTTATTCAAGGGGCATGAGGGGCAGGAATCTCACTTCTAGAATTCATCTAAGGTAGGGGGTTCTAAGATGTGGCCCACAGGCAAATTGAATACTGAACAGTTTTTAGCAACTATCTTTTATATAATTAATTATTATATTGGAAAAATTATTAAAATGCACTGCTTATTTCACTGAGAAGTCTTTTAAAAGAAAGCTCTCATTAATTTGGGAGAAATCTTGTACACTTACTGACTTCATAATCTTAAGGAAAAAAAATGGAAACCAGAACACAGAAAAATTGATTAAAATAAATCAATTAAGAAAAGTCTATTGAAATAGACATTAATAATCCCCAAATGCGGTGAATAATGAAAAAGAATGTATATATATTTCAATTCTATTACTAAACTCTTCAGAAACAGTCTTGGTCACAAGTTGGCTGAGCACAGTGGCTCCTGGCTCACGCTTGTAATCCCAGCATTTTGGGAAGCCAAGGTGGAAGGACTGCTTGAGCTCAGGAGTTTGAGACCAGCCTGAGCTACACAGCAAGATCCCATCTCTTAAAAAAAAAAAAAATTACTCAGCAGAGAGGGTTAATTAATCTACTTATTTCAATGTCATTGTCTCATCTGCCTTGAGACTCCATAAAACTTTGCTATTTTCGATTTATAGCCAGCCATGAGCTGTTGCCTCTGTCTTTGATCACACAAGTCCTCATAACACAGAATGTTTTAATCCCTCTAAGAAATATGGCAACCCTCAAACTGAAAGCAATTTCTCCTTTATGCCTACACTGAGATACTTTTATTATCTGTTTCACTGATAGCAAGCTTCCTCAAGGAGGAATGGTTAGGTGAAACAACAGATGTTCTGGTTCCTGGTCAGTATTTCTAATAGAATAATCTATTTTCTTATTAGCCTATAAAGATAATTCTACAACCTAAGGCTAGGTTAAGTACTCTTTATTTTTAAGTCTTATCAGAGGGAATAAGTTTGTATTCTTTATGAATCTCAAGTTTATTATCAGTAGCTTCATGGTTTAAGCCACACTCTGAACAATCAACCAACCCATCAACCTGACCAGCTTCACTCCTAGTTATGCAGGTTTGGTCCTTTATTATCTAAAGTAAACTGTCCATCTCCATAATATCCAATACTCATGTTTTACTAATTTTTTTTCTCTATTTCACATCTAGGTCATCCTTTCCTTGTTTTAACACTTTTTTTTTTTTAGCAAGCCTTTTCTCCAACTCTTACATTTGACTTCCTTCTTCTCCTCTATTTTTACTTCTGAAAGAACACCTTAGATCTTAAAAGTTTTACTCAGTTTCTAGAAATCTACAATTTCTCCAACAACTTTCCCCAGTTATTATTGGCTCAGACTAGAAGCATTATACTCTAGGAGAAGCCACAATAGGCCCATTTTTGGATGTCACCAAGCTAAGAAAAAAAGCAATAGTATATGACAGGCAACATTTTATCCAAGGCCAGAACCACCTTTAAGTATTTAAACTTTTAAAGGATCACACATTAAATTTATTGTATTCACTTCTGAATTCAACTGGGATTTCCTACAATTCTAAAAGCTCATTCTGGTTGAGATACATTATATCATGTGTAATGCAAGTGAATCATCAACTAGTAAAACACTAAAGTTGGAAGGCTTTCAAAAAGATATGGGTTAATTCTCCCTTTAACCTACAGACGAAATTGGGACATTGATAAGTTCGGCAACTTTTTAAATTACTGAAATAATTCAGTAGTTAAAAAAAAAAAAGGTATTAAGAAACCAAGATCCCCCAAACTGAAAGTAGGCTGTATTCAAAATGCTCATGTATGAAAAGAATTACTTGGAATTTAAAACACATTTCCAACAGAAATAACACAGATGCTAAATAAGCCAGTCCATAAATATACACTTAAAGGGAATCCTAGCTATTTTCAAGGGTCTTAGAAATTTTGGGCACTTTTCATTTTACTACTAAGTGTACTCTCTCTTTTTCTTGATGTAGAAATGACACAAATAGTGCCCAGCTTTTCAGATATAATTAGTTGTTTTTTTGCTCACAAATGAAATAAAGAAGGTAAAAGAGCTTTCCATATTAATTAAAAGAGAACAAATAATTCACATTATAAGAGGTTGGACTAAAATTTAAAAATATATACATATAAGAAAACACTCATCTGAGTGAAAGATAGTTAAAAATCAGACTGGCTACCAGGTAGCCTTATGAGCCTATGAATATGGGGAATGACCTTGGCTATACTCCAATAAAACTTAACTTATGGGCACTGGAATATGAATTTCATATAATTCTTATATTTCAAAAATTATTATTTCATTATTTTTAAAATTGTGGAGTACAATTCAGGTTTAGGTATGAAAATATTCATTGTGCAGGTACCCTTGTTGATGAGGTGTGCCTCCCTTCACCAGGCAGATATTGACTACCGTCAATCCCACCTTTCCCTCCCCGGCAGTTTCCTGCTACTGTCAACCCTGTGACAGTATTACAGTCGTTGTTCAAGGGCCACTTATGAGTGAGAACATGTGACGCTCAGATCTTTGTTTCTGTGAAAGATCACTCAGTACTATAAACTCTAATTCCATCCAGGTTGCTGCGAAGTTCATGATTTTGGTCTTCTTCATGGTTGTGTAACATTCCATTGTGTATATGTACCACTTTATTTTTATTCAGTCCTCTTTTGATGGGCAGCACAGTTGTCATTAAAACTACACTGAGATATCACCTAACTCCTGTCAGAAAGGCCATCATCAACAACTCAGAAAATAACAGATGCTGGAGAGGATGTGGCAAAAAGCGAACACTTCTACACTGTTGTGGGAGTGTAAACTAGTACAGCCTCTGTGGAAATCCGTGTGGCAATTCCTAAAAGTTCTAAAAATCAACCTTCCATGTGACCCTGCAATCCCCCTACTGGGAATATACCCAGAAGAACTCAAATCATTCTATAAAAAAGATACCTGCACACATATGATTATCGCAGCATTGTTCACAATAACAAATTATTCTTCTTTGATTTTTTTTCAATTGTTTAAAAACACAAAAACCATTCTGAGTTCACAGGCCACATAAAAACAGGTGGAGACCCCAAATTTGGCCTGTGGATTAGTTTGTCAATCTTTGGTCTAGGGAATTGCAAGAAGAAGGAAGGGCAAGGTGTAACTGGTTTAATAAGTAGGGGGTCTACTCATGAATGATTCTGCATTAGACCTAAATGGAAAAGCAGCATGCCGCCTCTAACATATATAATGTGGGTCTCAGTTTGAAGGTAAATGTCATATTTTACAGTCTTAAATATAAAACAGTTTCAGAAACATAATCATTGATTCATAGACAAAAATAATTCTCATAAATAACAGTACACAAATCATAATTTTAAAGATAACTCATTTTGTACAAGTGTCCCAAAATTATATCAATAGATACTTATTCATTACCATTTTGTCCCTGAGTCGCTCTCCACGGATAAAAAAGTCAGCACAGCCATTTTCTTCCTGATGAGGGACTTTGAAGACAGTAACGCTGCTTAGTCCACTCCCTCCAAGTGGTAACCATCCACCACTTGAGTCATCTCGGGTCATCACCACAGCTCGCACTCGTGCATAACTATTACTAAAACAGATGCAAAGATCAGAAATTAGCTTTTCTATAAACAAAAAAACAGACAAACTGTCAGTCTTGTTTGAGAAACCACATTAGTTAATATGTGGTAACTAATGTGTTTACTACTTCCATGACACTCCACAGAAAGTAACTTACTTGAAAAACATTTTAAAAAAAAACAAACCCACAAACTAATTTTAAAGGTTATTATTTTGAAGACTAACCTTATAATAAAATACTACAGAACTCTTATTTCAATTCATCATTTCAGTAATTCAAGCACATTTGATTGCCATGTACAAGCTGTGAAAAATCCCAGAGACAAATACTGTTAAACTATATAGGCTACCATTAAACTTGTCTACATATGTCAGTTTGCTTCATTATTATAACCAGGACAAATGGCTGTATTTTAGCACATTTAATTATGGCATCTTGAAGTTCCTAACAGTTCTGGAATATATTATAAATAAAACGCTGAAACAACCTGCTTAGTTTAGATGCCACATTTTTTGTTTCTTCTACCAACTGGGAATCTAAATCACTTACACAAATCACATAAAGAAAAATGTTCTGTTTAAATTGTTTATCAAGCAAATTGTTCCGTAGAAACTTTTCCTGCCTTTCTGACAGACTCTATTCTTAAAAGAGACTACATCTGAGTCCCATTTCAGATTTATTTCCCAACATTAATCACTATTCTTTAGTTAAAATCTAGAAAATATGTTTATTGTACTAAATGGTATACACCACTGACATCTAGCCATTTTAGTTCTTAAACTTTTAATATTAAGTATTAAAGAAAACCTTTCCAAAAGTTATATACCTTGTTGACTAATTAGAAAATTGTACTGAATATAACTTAAGCTTGTCTAACTTATGAATATCAACAGAGGTACTATTAACAGTTCTGTGCTTCTTAGTGTGTGTCTGCATATTCTAGGTTGCCAGTTGTCATTTCTGTTGTCATTGTCATTACCTGAAAGCTCCTCTTTGCTTTTTTCAACTTTATGCATTTATATTTATTTTGCATGCAATAACACTGTAATTGTATCAGTTTTCAAATAAATAGAATTAAACACATTCTGACAAATGTGTACACCTGTTACTAGGGTCCAAATGTCTGTGTCCCCCAAAACAAATATGCTGAAATCCCAACCTCTGAAGTGGTAGCATCAAGAGGTAGGGTTTTTAGGAGGTGATTAGGTCATGAGGGCATTTTTAGTGCCCTTATAGAAGAGACTCCAGGAGGGTAGTTTGTCCTTTGTACCATGTAAGACACAGCTAGAAGGCACAACTTTAAGTAGGAAATGGGCCCTCACCAGACACCTAATTCACTTACAACTTGGTCTTATAATTCTCAGCCTCCAGAACTGTGGGAAACAAATTTCTGTTGCTAATCAGTTTATGGTAATATGTTATAGCAGCCCAAACAGACCAAGACACATGTATAACCAACATGATAAAATACAGAATTATTTTCATCACTCCAGAAAATTCCCTTATGCTGAACACAGAGATTAATTTTGCCTGTTTAGGGCCTTCATACAAATGGAATCAAAGAGAATTACCACTTGAACCATTTGCATCTGACTTCTTTCTCTCATTATGTTGTTGTATCAGAAGTTCATTTCCTCTTTTAACTACTAAGTAGCTCTCTAACTGAATAAATATATCACAATTTATTTATTCTTCCACTGATAGGCATTTAGATTATTTCTAGTTGTTGATTATTATGAATAAAGCTGTTATAAGCATTTTTGTACATGTCTTTTTGTAGAAATGTTTTAATTACCTAGAAGTGAAATTAATGGGTCACAGGACAGGTGCATGTTTAATTGTATAAGAAGCCAACAAACTGTTTGCCAGAGCGGTTGTACACTCCTATCAATAATGTATGATAGTTTCAGGTGCACTACATTCCTGTCAATATTTGGTGTTTTCAGTCTTTTTTTTTTTTTGAGTTGGAGTCTCACTCTGTCGAACAGACTGGAGTGTAGTGGCCGCTCCCGGCCACTGCAGCCTCGACCTGCTGGGCTCCGGCGATCCTTCCGCCTCAGCCTTCCGAGTAGCCGGAATTACAGGCGCACACTACCACGCCCGGCTGGTCTTTTGATTTATCGTAGAGATGAGGTCTTGCTGCCCAGGCGGGTCTCGAACCCGCGGGCTCAGGCAATCCACTCACCTCAGCCTCCCAAAGGTGCGGGATTTACAGGCTGAGCCACCAAGCCGGCTTGTTTTCAGCCTTTTAACTTTATTCATTGTAGTTAAGTAAATAGCAGTATCCAACTGTGATTTTAATTTCCATTTTCCTGATGACTCAAATGTGGAACATCTTTTCATGTGCTTTTTGGCCTTTGGTTAATCTTGTTTTTAAGTCTTCTGGCCATTTTTTATTACATTATTTTTATTATTGATTTTTAAAAGTCCTTTTATAACCTGGACAGAGACTTTTGTCAGTGAATATTATACTCTTAAAGCTGCACTGGGTTGTAGTTAAGAGTGAGGATTCTAAAATTAAACTTCAATAAGTTGGTCTTGGCTTAGCAACTTACTAGCTGTACAACCTTGAGAAAGTTACTAAACCCCCGGGCTTTAGTCTCATCTGTGAAATAACAGCACTCATCTTTAATAAATGTGAACAGTACCTGACACATAATAAATACTATATAATACTAAATATAAATATATTTATATATTTATAAAATTATAAATATATAAATTATTTTTATTATAACAACAAAGCAATGAAAATTGAAGAAGCTGCCATCCTAGCAATTCAAAGCCAGACAGAATCTGGGAAATAATAAAATGTATATGGTCAAGCATAATTCTCTACTATTGGGGTCAAAATAATTCTTCAGAAGTTCTAAAAAGCTTTAGTTTTATAGTTGCCTATTTTGTGTAGGCTTTTTATTATTCAGTTATTCAGAGGCTCTGATTCTTACCTGGGCTTAATTCTTGTCTTAGAGGACTAGTCAGAGGAGGTGTGGGTGCATAAAGGCTGGGTTTGATGTACATTTAAAACTGGAATCCTCCTTCGGGAATAGGCTGGAGCAAATACCTCTACCATAAACAAACATGATATGCTTGGGCTAGCATTCATTCTAAGGCAAATACGGAGGTTCTTATAAAATGTTTGGTTTCTTTTTTAAATTAGAAATCTAAATATTCCATCTCAAGTTCTACTCTCCGATCTTATTTTAACAGTTGCTTCAAATACACCTTTTCACACAGAGTAGGAGAATTAAACCATTATCTTAGTCCATTTTGTGATGCTATAGCAGAATACTAGACTGGGTAATTTATAAAGAATGGAAATTTACTTCTCACAGTTCTAGAGGATGGCAAAGTTCAAGACAAAGGTATCAGGTGAGGGTACAGTCTCTTCATCCAAGATCGTGCTTTAACATACTGTGACCTCTGGAGAGAAAGAATGCTGTGTTCCCACATGGCAGAAGGTGGAAAGGCAAAAAGGGACAAACTCTAGCCCTTTTAAAAGGATATTAATCCACTCATGAAGGTAGAGAGTCCTCATGACCTAAACATCTCCCAAAAAGGCACACATCCCATTACTGTTTCATTGGGGTTTAAATTTCAACATAAACTTGTGGGAACAAAATATTGAAGCTACAGCAACTAGTAATGTACAAGTCCAGGGGAGAAGCAACGTTGGACTAAACTAGGATGACAATAATGGATGCAGAGAGGAATGGAATGAGGTAAAGCCAAGAGGACTTACTTACGGATAGTATTATAACTACAAAGCAAATGTTTCAAATCATCTAAAATTCTTAATAGTAACCATGAGCATAATTTTCTAAAGTATCAACTAGTATTTCAATAACGCTAAGGCAAAAGAAGTTGAACAAACATGAAAACAAATTTTGCCTCACCTGTGCTGATCCATGTAGGTTTTAAAAAAAATATTAGTACTATATATGAGCTAGAGTAACTTTTTGCGTTTTATGGATAAATATATATTGTGGCAGTCTTTTCAAGTCTGCATACTGACAAAATATTTAACAATCAAATTAAGGGTATTGTTACAAAAAATTTTACAAGCCCTAATAGTTTTAACTGTCTAGAACACAAAGTGTCCTTGATCTAAAGTGGTCTTCTTTTTTAGTTTCTTTTCTCCCTTGTAGAACCATCTTGCTTTGTAATTACCAAACCTGTTATATAACTACCCAACTGCTGGGCAAGTAGAAGGACCAAGAAAGATACAGTCTGGAGAGTTTATCAAATGTTTTCTCCTGGTTTTGTGTGTCCACTATAAGAAAAAATCAGGTTTTAAAACACTTAAAATGTTTGAAAGTCAAACTCCTTTAGAGAACATACAGACTCTACCATATATTAGGACATTTCTTGGTACACAGAATACTTGTACAGTTTTAATACCAATTACCATTCTTGCCACCAAAAGTTCACAACTTCCCTTCTCTCTGCCTTGCGTACCAGAATATCCTAAGAAGCCAGACAACATGGCCATAATATAGTTCTCCAGACTTACACACACATTATTACAATGCACTGAATATTTTCATAAACTTATGCTACTTATATTAACCAGAAGTTCAGTTTGGTTAGGATGAAGTAAAAGAATAGCTATCCATGTTTATAAATTAAAATTCTATCCTTCCCCTATCCATCTTACTATTATTAACTAATATGTTAAGATAATATGTATTCCATTCAACTAAATAAGTGGAAAAAGAAGAAGTCATCAAGCACTATGCACAATACTGACTCCTGTGGAATTCTAATTGATTTTACTTTGGTTTCATTTTCTAAATACAGGTATACACCACATAACAATATTCTGGTCAACAACAAATCCCATATATGACAATGGTGCCATAAGATTATAATATCACATTTTTTATGATAGCTTTTCTGCTTAGATATGTTTAGATACACAAATACATACCACTGTGCCACAAACTGCCTACAGTACAATAACATGCATACAAGTTTGTAGCCCAGGAGCAATAGGCAACTTTGTATAA